CTCCTTCTCCTCCTCCTCCTCGTCCTCCTCCTCCTCCTCCCTCCCTCCCTCCCTCTCTCCCTCCCTCCTTCTCACACGGCGTGGTGCGGGACTTGGCCACGCGAGAAGCCGCGCGTGGGGGGGCGAGGCCAGAGGGGAGGATCCCGAATCAGAACGGCGCATGTGTGGTCCCAGCTGCTTCATACCCCTTCTTGGCATGGAAGAAGCGGGTCCTGGTGGAGACGGGCCCTGGCCTTTGGGGCTATCCATACATACATGCTGTCCACCCAGAACCGTGTTTGACTGTCCAGGGGCTCAGGACTGGCCCCCAAAACGGCAAAGAACCGTGCAGGACACCTTTCGTCTAGGATTAGGTCGGTCTTGTCCAACTACAGGCGGGTTCTGGAAGCAAGTGAAACATAGTCCCAATAGAATCCAAGCATAATCAAACGAGCACGACACATCGTCCCCTGACTACTGTTCGACTAGTTGGGGATATTCCACCCACCTGTAAAGGGACATGCGCGACTTAAGTCTGGGAGGGCCTGCCTTCACAGCGATTCCCTCTCGAAAGGGGGACGAAGCTAGATTTCACGAGCCGCTGGCGAAGCGCCGTCCCCAAGGCCAAGGCCGAGCGAACTTCTGGCGCGCCACGCGTGGCGGCGGCCCCCGCGACCCAAGGAAGCCGAAGCTTCTGCCTTGCGCTCTTCTAGTGTTTGGTCGGGCATGTCCTCCTACAGGCGGATTTTGGGCGAAAGCTAATCATTAAAAAAAGGTAAAAATATTTAAACTAATCTGAAACTTCTAGGAACACCGTCCCCGGACTATTCTTAACTATTTTTGAATATTCCTCCTGGTAGGGGGACAGGCCCGACTTAAGTCTTGTGGCAAACAACGTATTTAGAAGAAGGAAAACGGCATACACATAAACTTTTGGCGCTCCGCGCGGATTTCTTGGATCTGTGCTGGGCCACCCTCCCCGGCGCGCGGAGCGCGCCAGGGACGGCGCCGGAGGCTCCGCTGGGGGGGCCCAGCGCGGATTGAAGAAATCCGCGCGGGGCGCCATAAGTTCATGCTTACGGCGTTTTCTCTTCCACGGCTCAAGATGAAAAGCCGGCCCTGGGGGAAAGGGTCGGGACTTCCAGGGACCGCGCGCTGAAAAAACAATACAGCAGATCTCTGGGAACCAAAAACAAACATGGTAGCCCGTCCTGTCAGATGAAATATATGGCGGGGTCCAGAAACCCTGAACCCAAACGCGAGGGCGCATTCTTTACCTCCACCAGCCTTCCGCCGCCTTCCGCCGGCGGATCCGGCCCTGTTTGCTTCCGCCGCCCTTCCACCGAGGAAGAGATGCCAACTCCTTCGAGCCTCGAAGGCGAGGGCCTCTCTGGAACGCCTCATACGTTATGGAGTTAGGTCGGGCATGTCCCCCTACCCCACAGGCGGATTGGGCGGAAAATAAAACAAAACCTCAACGAATGCTCTACAATGGCAAAAAATACTCAACAAGTCGTCACCATACTATTTTTGGACTATTTTCGAATCTACCTCCTGTCGAGGGACAGGCCCGACTTAATTCTAGGGTGGGATGTCCCGTTGCATCCTTGTCTCCTCGCGGGCCTGCCGCCGAAAGCACGGTCGCCGGAAGCGGGCCGAATGCTCTGGAACATCCAAGGTCACGTACAAGCGCAGCTTGTTCGCGCTTCCGAGCTGCGGGATCGCGAAGCGCGAACAGCTTCGCGCTCTCGCGCCGCCCCCAAGGGGTGAAGGAGGAGAAAGAGGGGGAGGAAGAGGAAGAGGAGGAGGAGGAGGAGGAGGAGGAGGCGCGAAGGAATGAGGAAGGGAGCAGTCAGCGAACCGCGAGGCGCGAATGACTTCGCACCCTCGTGGCGGCCTCCAACTATGAGCGGCGAGGCTCGGTGGGAGTGTGCTGTCTGCATCCCCGACTCCTCGCTACATTCCTTCCAAGTCCCCCTCGTTCTCCTATCCGTCGTCCTCCTATCCGTCGTCCTCACCATCTGCCTTCTCCTCCTTTTCTCGCCATCGCTCGGACGTGCATTCCCCGTGCATGTTTCGGTTTCGTGCGTGTATTTTTCCGCAAGACGACCCAAAAGGCTCCTCGATGGCCTTCTCCAAGAACAAATGCAAACGTCCGAGCGATGCCAAGTCCTCTTCCTTTCGGCCCCCGACCTGGCGCCGTGCTTTCTTTTTGTCAGTGCGCGGGCCCCCGAGCTCTCCACCCTTCCCGAGAACAGCTTGTGTAATCCTGGGCCATTTCTTGACAGTCCTGGAGCCCAACCGGAGACTGAATAGACTGGAAGAAACCAAATGAGCCGCCGCCTGAGGCTGAATATAATTAAAAAACATGTCTTGATGTGTTTGATCCTTCCTACTCAGGACCCCTCCCCTTTCTCCTCCACCTCCTCCCCCTGGGCCCGCAGTAGCCAGCCACAACGCGAGGTCCTTGCCCTTTCCGCCGCTGTAGGCGCCGCCCTTACCGCCGTAGGGCTCGCCCCAGCCCTTCGAGTACGCCTTGGTCGGCGCCTTGCCGAAGCCCTTGTCGCCGCCCCAAGGGCTGGCGGGCTTGCCAAAGGCCTTCCCGGCAGGCTTCCCCGCGCCCTTGGGCCCTGACTTGCCCTTTTCCTGCGGGATCGCTGCCGGGTCCGGCGGGCCCGTCTCTATGATCTCCTCGGCTCCTGACGGGGCAGCGAGGTGATTAGCAATAGAAAGACCCCTAACCTTTTGAGAGGGGACCTGAGGTAGGAGTGCCAAACATTTTGGGGATGCGGGAGTCTTTCTGCAGACGTATCGAACCAAACCGCCCAGATTTATAATCCCTAATGCAAAGATGGGGATTTCAGTGAGATCCCCGACGTCTTGATTTTTTGACAACGTCGACCCCCAGCAATCTGGACCCCTTGCCCGGGACCTGTTTTTCATCCTGAATCGCTTCTTGCCGTGATAGCGAATAACGAATTAACGAATCGTTTTCATCCTGAGGAGGCCGAACATAGCGAAAAACCTCCTGTCGTGCTTTTTGTTCACAACGCGAGGGGGTCTGGGGACGGGGCGGCTGCGAGGGGCTGTGCTACACGGCCAGGGTGCCGCGCAGAGCTGCTGCGTCCACGAGGTTTGGCGCTTTGCAGCGGCGCTTCTGCGCGGTGATGGTCACACGCCCCGGGCAGGGCGAAGGCCGCCGAGGGCCGCCGAGGGCCGCCGACGGGAGGGTCTCCTCCTCCTCCTCCTCCTCCCCTCCTCATCCTCCTCCTCCTCCTCCCCCTCCTCCCTCCTCTCCTCCTCTCCTCCTCCTCCTCTCCTGCTCCTCCTCCTGCTCCTCCTCCTCTCCTCTCCCCTCCTCATCCTTCTCCTCCCTCCTCCTCATCCTCCTCTCCTCCTCCTCCTCCTTCCTCCTCCTCCTCTCCTCCTCCTCCTCCTCCTCCTGCTCCTCCTCTCCTCCTCCTCCTCCTCTCCTCCCTCCTCCTCCTCTCCTCCTCCTCCTCCCTCCTCCCTCCTCCTCTCCTCTCTCCTCTCTCCCCTCCTCCTCTCTCCTCCTCCTCCTCCTCCTCCTCCTCTCTCCCTCCTCCTCTCTCCCCTCCTCCTCCTCCCTCCTCTCCTCCCTCCTCCTCTCCTCCTGCTCCTCCTCCTGCTCCTCCTCGCCTCCTCTCCTCTCCTCTCCTCTCCTCTCCCTCTCCTCTCCTCTCCTCCCACTTCTCTCCTTCCCCCTCCCCCCCCCCCTCCTCCTCCTCCTCCTCCTCCTCCTCCTCCTCCTCCTGCTCCATCCTCCTCCTCCTCCTCCTCCTCCTCCTCCTCATCATCATCATCATCATCATCAGCAGCAGCAGCAGCAGCAGCATCATCATCATCATCATCATCATCATCCTGCTTCTTCTCCTCCGATGGCCGTCGACGGAAGGGATACAGTCGGGCCGCTGAAAGAAGGAACGCCGAATGAGGAACGAAGCCCCATTTTGGCCCTAAAAGCGCCGCCGTGCCCGAGGAGGGCAGGAGGAACAGCGATGGAGGAGCCCAAGGAACATCGAGCCCCTTCCGAACTCAAATGGTTCCTTATTTCAACTTCTTGACTGAGCGCCCCTACAGTCAACCCGTACAGATGTGGCGCGAGCACCCCTGCAGTCACCCCGTATGAAAAGGACGCACGATCAGGATGCAAGGGCCTCGGAAGGCCGCGTCGGCACTCTGCGAGCGGGGCGCGGCCAGCGAAAGTCGCCGCGGAGGGGCCGAAAGGGAAGGATGCAAGGGTAACCTTGCCATCGCTCGGACGTCCATTCCCCGTGCAGCTTTCGTTTCCGTGCGTGCTTCTTTCGCGAAGTGATCCAACATGCTCCTCCTCGATGGCCCTCGCAAAGAAAAACTGCACACGTCTGAGCGATGCCACGTCACCCTGGAACGTTGCCCACCCTCACTCTGTGGGTTGACTGTGGCTTACCCCCCCCGTTCTCTCTCGCTTGTCCCCCCCGGGGCGGGCCGGGCCCCTGATTGCCGATGGTTTTTCCCCCAGGCGGAATGCCGACCACTGATTCCCGCCCCCCCCCCGCGGTGGGCGGGAGGCTCTGGCTCTGCAGGCAGGGACGTGCAGCCTGCTGGCCCCCTCGGGAATTCTGCCAGGGTCCCTGTGCTCGAGGCTTCGGGGCTTGTTAAGATATGGCCGCGTCTCGCCCCTTCGGACACGGCGGCGGTCACGTGATGCGAAGCGCGATGCTCCTCGCGAGCATGCAAAACCACGTTTCGCAGAAACGATGCTTGATATGAGATGCCTGCCTCCCCCCCCCCCCCCAAGAGCCCCTCCAGGACCCCCCGTGCAATCCCATCCCAGGAACATGAGATCCAACGTGGCGTCGGGAGCGTAGTCTTGACAGGAACGAGTCCTGGGAGATACTCCAGCCAGGAGGGGGCTGTGGCCATGATCTGTCAAGGGCTCTGGAGCCTCGTCGTCCGCATGGGGCCATGCACTCCCGCGTGGCGCCGCTCGGCGGCCCTGGGGTCCTAGGCCCGAGTCGTCCTCGCAGATGTGGAATTCGCAGGGAGCGCCCGGGTGGAGCTCCGTGCTGCCGTCCAGAATGTCGGCGACGCTGGCGAATATAGAGCCGTTCCTCTCGCCGGAGCGGTGGCCATCGAGGGGGGCGAGGAGGGCAGCGACATCGAGGATACTGAGGAGGGCATGCACCTCATATGTGTCTATGTGTGTATGTGTGCATCTGTGCATCTGCATTTACGTAGTTGTACATTCATCACACACACACCAACATATATACATATATATATATACATATATACAATTCAATACAGAGAGTAGTAACAACAAAACAAAGAACGGGGGGATACAGAAGCAGACAGAGAAAACGAATGGATAGTGAGCCTCCACCAACACTCGAACACCCAGCGCTATACCACCACAGATAATCGGCAGATGTGCGGAGAAGCGCGACTGAATCTCTAGAACGGGACCAGTGTCTACACAGATCTATATGTATAGAAAGAAAATAGCGTCTTACTCAGGTGGCAGAGAGGGATGGGAAAAGAGAGAGAGAGAGAGAGAGCGAGAGAGAAACGTATCAAACAACGAAAGAACATAAAACACAACTTGTATAGAACAAAGGAATGGATGACGAATGGAAGAGAGAGCTGATCACAGAAATGGGCAGTAGTCAACAACCAAACGCAAAGAGGAAACCCACTGCATGGCAATGGGGCCCAGATTATGCCTGTACCCGCCACCGTGCCCCGAGGCTCAAAGTGGAAAGCCCTCATGACCATACGCGTTATCTCTGTTTGCATTGGCAATGTACGTGCTCTTTGGGGGTCAACTGTCCAAAACTTCAGGAGTTGCCGGACGCTCTTAGGCGCGAGCTTCGGTCGTGACCTTTACCGAGGCCTTGGAAGCGCGGTTCGGATTACAAACGTCCAACACGTCCTAAAGTCTCATGGGGCAGTCTTGGGCTGTCTTGCGGGCATGGTGGGCTGTCTTGGAGGCTCTGGCGACTGGCCCAAGATGCCTAAACCAACAAGTACTAAGCGACACATATTACGCTGTTGTACGGGTCTTGCATAACCGCATTGCCAGTCGTAAGAGCATCCTGAACGGCCCAACAGGCCCCCAATATCACCCCGCGACTCCAAAAAGACTTATGAGAGGCCTCTAGGCAGCAACCCAGGCATGGTGGCAGGATGAACCGAAATCCACTAGATTCGCCGCCCGTGTGCTTGCTAAAAGTGTGCGCTGCGCGTTGGACACTCGTCGCTTGAACCGTTCCGAGAGATTCCCAACGGGGTCTCGGCGCACCCTGTCGGCCACCAGTAAGAGCCGGAACATCTGTCTCCAAACGGCTTTCCAGCGCAGGGTGGGCCTAAAGGTAGCCTCCAAGAGGGCCAAATTGGCCTAAGATGACCTCCAAGACTCCTGGGAGGTCCAGCCGAGTCGGGGGCTATGCGGATCCAGGTGAGAGCTCGCGGTGCGAACTGCGCAACCGTCTCGGGCTCCTGGGAGGTTCAGCGGAGTCGGGGGCCGCGCGGACCCAGACGGGATCTCGCTGCTCCCTGGGTCGCTGCGAACTGCGCAACTGTCGCCACGTTCGCGGGATCCTGGGAGGGAGGTCCAACGGAGTCGGGGGCCACGCGCACCCAGACGGGACCTCGCTGCTCCCTGGGTGGCTGCGCACTGCGCAACTGTCGCCACTTTCGTGGGCTCCTCAAGGTCTATCGGGGTCGGGAGCCACGCGGACCAAGCCGAGACCTCGCTGCTCCCTGGGTGGCTGCGCACTGCGCAACTGTCGCCACTTTCGTGGGCTCCTCAAGGTCTATCGGGGTCGGGAGCCACGCGGACCAAGCCGAGACCTCGCTGCTCCCTGGGTGGCTGCGCACTGCGCAACTGTCGCCACTTTCGTGGGCTCCTCAAGGTCTATCGGGGTCGGGAGCCACGCGGACCAAGCCGAGACCTCGCTGCCCCCTGGGGGGCTGCGAACTGCGCAACCTTCGCCACTAAAATGGACTACTGGGAGGTCCAGCGGAGTCGGGGGCCATGCGGACCCAGCGTGGCTGCGGACTGCGGAACTGTCGCCACTTTTGGGGGCTCCAGGAAGGTCCAGCGGAGTCGGGGGACCCGCGGACTCAGACGGGACCTCGCTGCTCCCTGGGAGGCTGTGAACTGCGCAGCTGTCGCCTCTTTCGTGGCCTCCTGGGAGGCACTGCGGAGCCCGAGGCACGGCGGGAGGAGGGCAGCGCAGATCGTGCATATCTTGAAGTGTGTTCCTATGTACGGGGCGTTCCTACAAATACTCGCCTCGTGTGGAGAAGGGGTGGGTAAGTCTCGGGTACTTCCTGTGAATCCCCCCCTGTCGGGTGTCCACTGTTCTCGGAATTGGAATGACTCCCCCCCAAGGTTCGCATTCGTTGTTCTATTAGGGAAGGTCGTTTCCAGGAAGACATTCCTGCTCAAACTGTGTTGTTAGGCTCCTGGCTACAGCTCGAGTGCCATTCAACACGTCTATCCCGAACCCTCTGCACCCGAACGTCGTTTTCGATCGTATCCCCGTGGGGGTATATCTTCCTGACCTGCCACGCGTGTTTTAGCGCAGCCCATAAAACAGAGGAAAGAAGACAGATGGAAGGGGGAGGGAGAAGGACAGAGTACGAGAGAGATTAGCAGGAGGAGGGCCAGGAGGAGAAAACACGTGGCAGAACCAGACGGGCAGATAGGGCGGGTAAACCCCAACGGGCGGGTCGGAAGGCGGGCCCAGGCGGCCAGGTCGAGCAGGCGGGTTGCTGAAGCGTGAGTCCTGCATGGGTCGCGAGTTATCAAGCGATAGCGCGATTTCCAAGTAAATCGTGAGAAAGGCCAAAGCGAGAGCATAATTCCTGAGTGTCGAGGGCGCGTCGTCTGAATGAATTGCGAGGAAAGACAAGTGAGAGCGCGATTCCTGCATATGTGAGGAAGTCCCGCGCGAGAGCTCGATGTTGGAGTAAATTGTAAAGAAAAAGCCGGCGGGAGCCGCTGTTGTTTTAAACCGGGAGCCAACAACCCAGTTTGGTGACACCCATTTTCCCCTTGTTTAGAGAAGGGTGCGAGCCCCGGGAGGAGCATTTTAATTGAAAAATGCGATGGTCACCGGAACGGGGATGGTTCAAATCAACTATTCTGTAGAAGTGAAAATGAAACAACGGCTCTCGCCCGTCAGTTCCTCGCAATGCATTAACAATCGCGCTCTCGCTAAAGGCCTCCGCGCAATTTACTCAATGATGGGGCTCTCGCTTCGGAGTTCCTCGCCATTGGCTACAGCGCTGTGCTTTCGCCGTCCAAGAACCAACCGCGTTTTCGAGCGGGACTTCCCCACGCTGTACTCAGGACTCGTGGTCTCGCCTGAGACTTCTTCGCAATACACGAAATTCGGTTCAATGCCCCGCCGGTCCGACCCCAGCTCGACACCCCTGGATGCCGTGGTGCCCCCCCGCCCGACCCACCCCGTGAGGGTCCGCCCGTGCGCCTGCTTGGACCCCCCCCCCTCGGCTGCCGAAGGCTCCCGCCGCGCGACTCGCCCGTCCGGGTCCGCCCGTTCGTCCGCTATTAGAAGCCCGCCCGCCCGGCCCCCCCGCTAGGTTAGGAGGCAACTACTGGGAGATTTTCGTCGGAAGCATGAAAGAGGATTAAGCCCTATTGGGGGGCTGTTACGCCTGAGTGGGCCTCGGAGTAAGCCGGATGAATCGGGATTCAGCGGGATCAAGCCGGACGAACCGGACCAGGGAAGGAGTTGCATCCGAACGCTAGGGTTGCATCCGAACGCTGGGGTCCGGCCGCCCGACCTGCCCGTCAGGGCTCCGCCGCTCGCTCGCGCGCTCGGGAGCCCGCCCGCCCGCTTCAGCGCCCCGCTGGCACGGCCCGCCGTGAGGGTCCGCCCGCCCGGCCCGCCCACGAGAGCCTGCTCGCCCGTTAGGGCCCGCTTGCCAGAGTGACTGCTCCTCTCTCCTCCCACTCCTGGTCGACTCTCTTCGCCCTCGATTCTCCTCTCTTCCCCTTGGCCCCCTCCCTGCTCGTTTCCTCCTTCCTTCCTCGTTCTCCCCCCTCTACTGTTCCTTTCTCCTCCTCCTCCTCCTCCTCCTCCTCCTCCTCCTCCTGTTTCAGAGGCCGAGCCAAGGACACGTGGCCAGCAAGGAAGATACACCCCCAAAGGGCGTATGGTCGAAGACAAAAAGTTACAGGTATCGATGGTTGGGGTATACTCGTTGAGTGTCACGCGAGCAGCGAATATCAACCAGTCTTAGCATGGTGGTTCGTGTTGCTTATGTGTTTGCGTGCGCGTGCTGACATGTCTGCATATACATCTGCCAAGGTAGGTGTATACGATAAAAGGAAGGGTACCGCCCGCATACACGACAGTATAATGACGAGGACGATGAGTAGGAGGACGTGAAGGGTACCAGGAGCAGAAGCAGCAGGAGAGTACCAGCTCAGACGTCGAGAGCTAAAAGGGAAGGTGGGAAACTGAGGGGGAGACTCAAGGCTGGCTGGCCAAAGCTTCGGCTCCTAAGTGAAAACCCAGCTGCAAATGGGAGACCCGACCTTGCACGTTAGGCTGCAAATCTGGGCTCTGAGCTCGGCTCCCCTCTGAACGCAGAGAAGCTGCCTCGGGCGCCCTGCCCGGTGCCCGGTCCTCATGCTGGCCTTCTCGTGTTCGACCTCCTCATCAGGCTTAATCCACCCAAACTTGCCTTTCCACGCGACCACAACGCCAGTAAATTTCTCTGCGGTCACCCGGGTCCGAGGCAGGGTGTGGCCTTGCCTTGAGGCGTCCTTCCCCTTTCCCTTTGCCATTGATGGCCAGGCGTTCAGGGGGGGCCTGTTGAATGCAGCAATGCCCGCTTCGTGCCAAAATGGCTGCCCATAAGTCGTACCCCCCTCTTGAGAATTATCTCAAGCACGTCGAAACGGCCAGTGCGGTGCGGTGAGCTATTCTGTTAGGTTCCGAAAGAGTCAGGCTCGAGTTATCGACAGGTGCATCTCCGAGACCAAACTTTGCTGTCGCACGGAAAAGCGACAACTCGAGTCAAGCTCCTCGTGACACGTGTATGGAAGTATATCAACATTACACCAGAGAAAACCTCAATCAGTGGATTTATGTTTTTTTCGCAGGTGCCTCAATCGGCCTTCTTCTCGCCCTCATCTAGTCCGAATGTATTGTACTTCAGTCGAGTTACTCTGTGTTATTATTTGTCTCTTTTCTCTCTTTTTTGTTTTTTTGTTTCTCTCTCTCTCTCTCTCTATCTCCCCCTCTCTCTCGTTGTTGTTTTCTCTCTCTCTCTCTTCAGTGTCTCGTAGCGCGGGGGTGTCCGACGGCGCAAGGGTTTCCCGTGCTATGCTATACGCTATGATGTGTTGTGCTAGCGATCGTGAGGTCGATCGTGAGATCGGTTGTGATATCAACAGTGAGAGACATTGAATGAGATCGCAAGTGCTATCACTAGTGAGATCGATAGGGAGATCCATGGTGAGATTGGCGATGAGGTCAACAAAGTGAGTTCGCGTGTGAGATCAATCAAGAGATCGACAGTGAGATCGACAGTGAGATCGACAATGAGATCGATAGTGAGATCGATAGTGACACCGATTGGGTGAGATCGATTGTGAGATTGATCGTACGTTCGTTCGTGAGATTGATTGTGGGATCGGTTGGGTGATATGAAAAGTTAGATCGATAGTGATATCGACTGTGAGATCGGTCGTGAAATCAATAGTGTAATCGATAGTGAGATCGATTGAGTGACATTGATAGTAAGATCGATCGTGAAATCGACCGTGCGATCGATATTGAGATCGATAGTGAAAACGAATGGGGAATCGATCGTGAGATAGGTAGTGTGATCGACTGTGCGATCGATAGTGAGATTGATAGTGACATCGATCGTGAGATCGATAGTGACATCGATAGTGGCATCGCTAGTAAGACCGATAGTGGGATCTATAGTGAGATCGATCGTGCGATCGATAGTGAGATCGATCGTGAGATCGACTGTGAGATCGATCGGGGGATCAATACTGTTATCGATGGCGGGATCGGACTGAGTGACATGGATATTGAGATCGATAGTGAACTCAATAATGATATCTATTGAATGAGATTCACGGTGAGATCGATAACGAGATCGATTGTAAGATCGACCAGGAACCCGGGAACCCGGGATCCAGAAACTTGAACCCTGGGGACCCCGCCGCCCAGCAAAATCGGTCTGGAACCAGCAACCAGGAACCGGGGAACTGAACTGGGAACCTGGCCGCGCCCACTGAAATCGGCCGGGAAACTTCGCCAAATCTTTCAACCTCCGCTAAGACCCCTTCCGTGCAAGCGCTGATTGAGGAATAGTCATGCACATTTTGCGCTCCGTGTTTTCATTGTCCTGAACGAATGGTATCGACACGCTGAAGTCAAAACTATCGGGTGCAACTCTTCGCTCTTGTCCTGCTTTCCTGCGCACGCGGTTCAGCACGACGTTTTTGATTCACTCCAGCTGTCGTGCACCTCGCCTTTGCACTGGGCACCCCTAGGCCCTAGGCAAAGGAAAAGCGGTTGGGGCCTCCCCACCCAGCCTGGTCAGCGTTGTCCGGCAGGGGTCGTGGGCGCTCAAGTCAGCCCCCCCTGCTTACTCCACAGCACTGCGGAAGCATCCCGAACCTCTGGAGAAGCTTGTGCACTACAGGGCGGTTCCCGATGTGTCACCCGAGCTGACTCGAAGCATCGGTGAATTTTGAGAATCTATCCTGGCAACGGCATGGAGCTCTCGGCGGGCTTTTGCGAATAGCTCCTCGGATTGCAGCCGTCCGCTGCGGCCTAAACAAAGCGCCACTGTGTATTCCCCCTCCCCACCAAAAACAATTGGCGTTCTGCCTGAGAGATCACGACAAACACTGGGCGGGCGAGGGGCCTGCGTAACACCCCCCCCCTGGCGAGTATCCCTACTCGGAGGCCTGAGTGCGAGGCCTGCGACGTCGCGTTGATTGTGGGTGTCTGAGTGGGTCTGATGCGGATGTCAGGGGAGGGGCCATACCCGTCGGTCGGAAGGAGTGGGTAGAGACATGAAGTAGGGAGGCGTTGGAAGTAGACTGGGCTACCGCCCGCCCCGTGAAGAGGAAGGAGAAGGAAAAAACACTCGATGCTTGAAGTCCAGAGCACTCATTACTAATTCCGGTTAATTCTATTTCCCGTCATTTCCAATTCCGGCCGCGAATTACACATGAAAGGTGCCGACGCGCAGGTCTGCGCCCCCCGCGCCTCGACGACGACTGACCTGCACACTGCGGCAAACCTTGGGGCTAGAACCTCTGCGAACCCTCGCCAGGGCCACGGTGCGCCTCCCACTGTAGGAAGGCGCCGAAAGTAGGCTGGGACCTGGGCATCCCGAATTACCTGCTTTCGACGACCGACGGGTAAACAGCGGGCTTGAATCGGCGGTACGTCGCCAATAGATCGGCGCTGGGCCCCCGATAGCGAATCCGCATGCTCCTCGGCGGTGTGTGGGCGTTCAGGCTCCTGTCGTGTCGGACAGAGCATCCCTGGCCTCGCTCGGAAGGCCAGCCCAGTCCGCGACGGCAACCCAGACCCTCGATCCCCGTGAGCTGTTCACATCGTCCGATGGAGAAGCCATCTGGCTCCCCTGGCTGCCAAAATGCAAACCGGAGCCTCGAAATGAAAAACAAAAAACAAGCAGAGGGAAAGAAACGTGCTAGAGCCGGAATGGTCACGAAGCGCTCTCTCACGCCCACCCCCACCTCTGTCATCGCGTGATGACCTGCACAACCTATGGGCCTATGGGCGTTCCGTCCAACAGAAATTGGGCGCACGCCTGGGCAATAGAAGATGAGCAGCATACATGGGGACTGTTGACCAACAGGCATTGAGAAACTTTTGACCACACTTTGAAACGAGTGACTCTCGCATAACACTTCGTTACATGGGCGATTTCGGAAACCCTGAGCCCAAAACTGTTTTCATCTCTTGGAGGCATATCTTTTACTTCCGCCGCCTTCCGCCGAGCTTCCGCCTGCGGAGGCGGCCTCGTTTTACTTCCGCCGACCTTCAGCCAACCTTCCGCTGAGGAAGAGATGACAACTCCTTCGATCCTCGAAGGCAAGGCCCTTTCTGGATTGCCTCGAAGCAGATGCACGGATGCGGGGCGGTTCCTTGTCAAAGCGGAACTGACGCTGGGCAGCTCCTGGAGCTGTGGGACCCCACCAGGTCGCATTCCTTGTAGCAGAAGGATGAAGGACGGCTTCATTCAAAACGAAGCTCACGCCTGAAAAGGGGGTCCACGGGGCACTAAGGAGGGCGCTTCGCGAAATGACAAGAAAACTTGCAGGGACTAAATTCAATGCACAGGGGTCTTGGGACGGGAAGGTGTGTTGCAGCATCGTTGATACATAATGGGCTCACTATGGTCCTCCCTCCTCCTTCTGCTCCCCCGCCTCCTCCTACTCCTCCTCTCCTCCTCCTCCCTCCTCCTCCTCGTCCTCCTCCTCTTCTTCTTCTTCGTCCTCCTCCTCCTCCCTGGCTTCGGATCCGCCGTACTTGGACTTGGGACAATTTCGCAAGGCGGAATTACCGCCCTACTTATCAGGCTCCTTGATGCTGATTTCCGCCCTACGGCCTACGTTGCCGAAAATATCAGCCCTGCTGGTTCTGAGGCGGAAAAAGCTCGCAACACTTCTTCGCGCAGTCGGGGGTGCAGCTCCGAAGATTTCAAGTCGGAGAATCAGCCGAAGCACGGCTAATCCGAAGTCAGGACTCCTCCTCCCCGTCCTCCCCCTTCCTCCTGCTCTCCCTCCTCCATTCCTTCTTCTTATAGATATCTCCTCCCTGTCGCACCCCGAGGTCAGTTTTTCAGGCAGGCCGGGCGCTTCGCCTGAGACTTTCTTACCACTTATGACTCTGAAGCTTAAACAGTGTCGACAATTGCACAGATGGAGATCGGGTCGTTTTCAAAATGTGGCTCTCGCCTTAGCGCCGCGCACATTCGTTTTTAAACATTTGCAGAGTTTCACGGATTGAGGGCGAGTCGTTTTCAAAATGTGGCTCTCGCCTTATCGCCGCGCACGTTCGTCTTAAAAAATGCTAGAGTTTCACGGATTGAAGGCGGGTCGTTTTCAACATGTGGCTCTCGCCTTAGCACAGCGCGCATTCGTCTTAAACATTTGCAAGAGTTTCACGGATTGAAGGCGGGTCGTTTTCAACATGTGGCTCTCGCATTAGCGCCGCGCACTTTCGTTCAAATATTGCAAGAGCTTCGCGGATTGAGGGCGGATGGTTTTCAAAATGTGGCTGTCGCTTTAGCGCCGCGCATATTCGGTTTAAGCATTTGCAAGAGTTTCACGGATTGAAGGCGGGTCGTTTTCAAAATGTGGCTCTCGCCTCAGCGCCTCACACATTCGTGTTTAAAAAGATGCAAGTGTTTCACGGATGGAGGACGGCTGTGTTTCAATATGTGGTTCTCGCCTTAGCGCTGCGCACATTCGTACTATCAATTTGCAAGATGTTCACGGATTGAGGGCGGTTTCTTTTTGTGTCTCTCGCCTTAGCGCTGCGCAAACTGGTTTTTTAACTTTGCCCAAAGTTTCACGGGCTCCCATCATCAGCGTACCAGAAATTGTGGTTTGGAAGGGTTCAGGATTATGCGGACGCAACAGTTATGTTGATTCGCCGTGCTGCAGTCCCACAAATAGCGTTCTGGCACGATTCTGGATCGTCAAGACGCAGCAGTCAGGTTGATACGTGGCGTGGAAATCCCGAGAACAATGTTTTGGCGCGATTCCGGATCTTCAAACTGTTGTCTTCCAACGAGGCAGTTCCCTCAATGGACATGAACCGTTGTAGGGGCCTAGGAGGAGGTAG